CATCTTCAGGATCTGGCCTTCTAAAGAGCAGTCAGGGTTGATCTCCTCTAGGACTGACCGATACCAAACCCAACATTAGGTGTGGTCATTCTAAAGACATTTTTCTCTTTTAAAATGAAGTCACATCATTGTATGCGTTACTGAAAGAAACACCGCAATTCTTTTTTTCTTCAAGAAACACACACTGAGGCCATCTGGTGGTTTAAGGTCATACTTTAAATTCATCCATGTAGTATATTATTCCCACAATTGGGATAGATCCAGATTTGTCATTTTTACAATCAGTTTTTTTCTCTCCATTTTTTTTTGCCTGGACAGAGACCGGAAGTTTATTTTAGCACTTTAATTAATTTAGAATAGTCCCAGGGCTGGGTAGTTTGGACAAATGAGTGTTTTTACATTGCAGAAGTTTTTGCTCAGTTGGCACCAAAGTCATGGGATTGATTATTCAATGCAGTGGATGATGGATTCAAAAAAAGCAAACAGTGACTAAAACAGAAAGATTTGGGTATTTAGGTTTTCCGAAGGGAAAAAACAGGAAAATTCTTCCAGACCCAACAGATGCCACCAAAAACTGATTACATTTTCCAAATTATGGAAAAGGTATTCTTTAATAAAGTATATAAGACATTGGCATGGTGTCTTGATGACTTGCTTTCTGAAGGTGCGCAGAGAACCCTGATAAAAACATTAATTGTGATTAGGAACTAAAATTTTTATATTTTAAATCTGTATCTATTTGAGTACCGCTTTACATGGCATTGAAAGGGTCATGTTTTGGTCACCACAACACAAAAAGGATGTTTTAGACTCTGGAAAGAATGCAGAGAAGAACAACAAGGGTGATTCGGGGGCTGGAGGCTCAAGAAAGGGAAAATATAGTGAAATTACAGTATTCCCTTTCCACTTAACATCTATTTCCTTCCTAGTCAAAATGTCATTGTTAGAAGATTTAAAAGAACAGGTTAAAGATAGATCATCACTGAGAAAATCTATCTGCATGGTTCTAATTACTTGATGACATATAATCAATCAATCAATCAACCAACCAATCAATCACGTTCTTTGCTCCAGGGATCACAAGCACACAGAAGACAACAGTACAGAGTACAATAGTTACACAGGTTTGTTGAATTAAAGATTGTTCCTTTAATATATATCACAATTATACTACATCTAATTACAACAATCAACACAACTACCAAAATGGAAACAGAGAAGTTATGCATATCAGAGTATTAGTCAAAATTGTCTTGCACGTTAACTCGTTTCCGAAAGAATTTCTGACATAGAAATGATAGCAAGAGAAGGAACAGGCACATAGCAGCACATCACAAATAGCAAGCTGCAGAATAGACAAGCTTGCGCACTCTGTGTTTACATCTGTACATATTTCACATGCTTTTCTGTAGGAGAAGGAGAGGCAGAGTTTGGGGGCAGAGTCAAGAGAGGAATCAGCTTAGAATCATTACATTCCCACAAGTGATCTAACTTCAACCCCTTATGAATTCTATTAATTCTTATCTAGTGACAATTTAGGGTTTAGGCCTACATCCTTCATTAGAGTAGTGTTCATCATACAATATATATTTGTATTGTTTGATTGCTTTTTGATTTTGTAACCCAGTCAGAGTTGCGTCATGTAATGAGTAGAGTGACAAATAAATTTAAGAAATCAATAAAGTAAATAATTCATTGAGTTTCTTTTTACGATCACCAGAAAAGTCACGTGCTAGGCAAATCTGCAATGCAACTTTGCATTCTAATAGTCTACTGAGATTCTCAATCATCCAGGTGATGGTTGTCCCAAAGGTGCTTTTTTTCAGGAGGCAACTGGGCTTTCGTGTTTTTTCTCTGAAGACATTTCACTTTTCATCCACAGATAAACATCCAAATGGCCTCAACGACCCTCTAATAGGATGCAAATGACCAGCTGTCTGCAAGGAGTATAAATCCTTCCATTCTCCACCATCCAGTTGGAGCTGAAGAAGCTTCTTGGATGAGAAGTGAAATATCTTCAAAAGAAAAAACAAGAAAGTGCAATTGCCTCCTGAAAAAGCACCTTTGGACAACCATGACCTGGAGGATTGAGAACCTCTAGACTTTTAGCTATGCAATTTCGGATGAACACCATTCAAATGGTGCAGGAGTATGAACAGATTTCCAGAAAAATTGCAGACCGCAGGAACCATTAGCAGTACTCAGGTGACCCTGAGGACACAGATAAACCTCCAAGTGGCCTCAAGGACTCTCTAAAAGGATGCAAATGACCAACTGTCTGCAAGGAGTATAAATCCTTCCATTCCCCACCATCCGGTCAGAGCTGAAGAAGCTTCTTGGAGGAGAAGCAAAATATCTTCAAAGAAAAGAAAAAAAACAAGAAAGTCCAGTTGTCTCTTTAAAAAAACACCTTTAAGATTGCATTTTAATAAAACACGGAGTCTACCGGGATCACTAATTTTTGGTTTCTGTGCAGTCAAGAAATCCTTCCCTCCTGGATCTATTTGAAGTTATTACATTACACAGGAAAGATTATGTTTATAAAAAGAATGCTAAGGCTTCATTGTTCATGGCTCAGAGAAATATCATTTATCCTCATGTGGAAAAAAATGATGACTGCTCTTTCAAGGAATGTATGTTTCAGAATGTTTTTGTTCATAAGGGAGTTATAACTGACATAATATTTTGGATTCAGTAAGTCCTTTGACATGTATTTATTTAAATACATCTTCCCCCTCTATCTCCGTGGCCTTAGAACAGCTTAAGGAAAAGTGAAGCACATTTTCTAAATCAAGGATGGGGCAATGGTGTAAGCCTCTCCTTCTTATTCAAGAAAGTAAAGACTCTTGAAACTTGGTATTTCAAAAAGAATATTTTATTGAGCAGAAATGATAACAGAACAAATGCAGACACCAAATTCTTTCAGGCAATAGAGTTAGAATTAAAGCATTAGTGACCCCTCTTTTCAACCCAAACCACAGGTGTGAAGATGTTATTGTAACGGCCATCCTGAGAACCAGATAAGCAAGCATTCCCAGGGGCATCTTCTGCTGGCTTTCAGAGTGGAACAACCCACATGGCCCTCCCCCCTTATACATTCCCCCAAAGGTAAGAAAATCTCAAGGCTTAAGCACCAGGATAAAGGTTATAAAACAACAGTTGTAAAAAGTAGGAAGAAAGAAATATACTCGCCCCTCTCCTTTCCCCAATTGAATGGCAGTATCACTATAGGGATCTGACAAATGGACTTAGTGACATATGCTTAACCAAGTCCAGGAAACACCATATTCCATATGTACTTGATAGCTAAATAACTTCTGCAAGAAGACAAGCCTGAAGATACTCCAGCCTTTGACATACCAGGGAGACATTTAAATGGTATATGGGTGCTCTGTCCTCACTACACGTTAGTCTGTGTGGAGCTCGACCTGCAGCTAAACCCACCTATCCTCCAATAAAACAGATCATATCTGTAGATCTGAATGCTTTATTGAAAGAATGGGATAAGGTGAAACTGGGGAAAACTGGGATACATACAATGAGAACCAAATACAAGATAGGCAGTATTGAGTGACTGCTGAACATAGCAATGAATAAATACAAGCAATTTAAATCTCACCAGCAATGCTCTGTATGTGGGATGTGGGTTTGTTCTTGGATGACCATGTGCCACAGATTAAGATGGATTCTTCTTTGTGCTTCTGCCTTCTCCAAATGCTAAAGGAAATGGATTCTGGCTTCCCAGCATGCACTTGTTTTGAGAGTGTAGGCTGATGGGTAATGGGGCAGGGTTAGCTTCAAACAATATATTTGGTATTTGTCTCTCTGGCCACTAGATGGGGCTAGAGAGCAACAACAGTATATTAAAGTTATATGCTGGGGCATGACAATGGGAATGACCTTGGAAGACCTGACTAAGAGATGCTACCTAGGGAAAGATTAGATAAGAGAGTGCAGAGCCTACATCTATATAATGGGTAGAACAAGAAGTTCAAGATGGATCATCTCTAAGTTCTTGGGTTGTAAAGGCAACAACAGGGGAATCGTACTTTCAGACTAGCAAGATTGATGCCAGGTAGATCAGACAGGAAACACAACCCGATACGCTAATTCTACTTTATTGTAAAGCTACACCAGCAGAATCTCCACATGTTGATTCACCTCTTGAAAGAGTCTCCATTTTATGTGTTATCGGTGGTATCTAGCCCCTTCGAGATTGGCCAAAATGTATCCCAACTTAAGCCCAACCTGCTGGAAATGTAAGCAGTCACAGGGCACCTTTTTCCACGTCTGGTGGCTTTGCCCGAAAATTAAGAAATATTGGATAAAAATACAGACATGGTTAAAAGACAGTCACGACTGTCCAAATAGAATTCAAAGGAGAAATTTTCCTACTGGGATTATAAAAGGAAACTACACAAAAGAGATAAAATATCTAATCCTGCACATAGTCACTGCAGCGAGACTAGCACTTGCACAATGTTGGAATGGAGACCTCATGCCGACAGAGGGCTTAATAATCCAAAAAATCTACGATTGTGCTGAAATGGATAAACTTACTCCAGAATTAAAAGAGAAGGAAGACTCAAAGTATTATACAGTGTGGGAAAACTGGTACAAATGGATAAATGACAGAAATAAGTGACTAAATAAATAAGGAACGAATAGTTTAAGAAGGATAATGTATAAGAACAACCAGGAATATGAAACACGCATGGGAAAATAATTGGTATGTAAGCACTGTCAAAATGGTTTGTAACATTTATAGTGTTTTCATTTTAATGAGTTGTATTGTATTTTGAATTTGATGTTTTTAAATGTTTAATAAAGGTTTTTCTAAAATTTTAAAAAAAAAGAAAAAAAAAGAAAGGGCTTCCATTTTAACTCCAACTTGTCCCTCCATTCCCAAATCCACATAGGAAGAATGTTCAAAAATACCTTCTTCTTTTCCCTTTATGGAGACCTGACATTTACTTCAATCCGGCCCCACAACTGCATCCCTACCGATGAATTTTCTTCATGACGCTTTGGTTGGTCCACTTGAACTGGAGATGTTGAGCCAGATCATTCCTGCCGATTTTGCAGAGATAGCGCGAGAGAAGCTTGAGCTTGTCAGCAGATCTTGGGAGACGCTGTCTCCAGGAGCACAGAAGCTCGTAGATCTGCTCGGTGAGGTGATCAGGGCACTTCAGTCTAATAAATTGAAGGGTGCTTCGGTGGAGACGCAGGTATTGGGCAAGAAAGTTGGCGTTCTCTTCGGACAGCTCTTCCGATAACCAGTACAGCAAGTTGTCCCACATGACCTCTGCTAGTCAAAATATTTATAAAGAGATGGAATTGCATGAATTTTTTTTTTTTAAAAGTACTGAAGACATAGGGAAATGGGACATGGATTTTGTAATATTCTTATACTTGTTAACTAACATAAAGATAAAGGTTCCCCTCGCACATACGTGTTAATCATTTCTGGCTCTAGGGGGCGGTGCTCATCTCCGTTACAAAGCCGAAGAGCCAGTGCTGTCCAAAGATGTCTCCATGGTCATGTGGCCGGCAGGTCTAAACGCCGCAGGCGCACGGAATGCTGTTATCTTCCCACCAAAGGGGTCCCTCTTTTTCTACTTGCATTTTTTACATGCTTTTGAGCTTCTAGTTTGGCAGAAGCTGGGACAAGGAATGGGAGCTCACTCCATTACGTGGTGCTAGGTATTCGAACCACTGAACTGCTGTCCTTTCTGATCGATAAGCTTACCATCTTAGCCACTGAGCCACCGCGTCCCCGTTAACTAACATAGTTTGTTTTTTTAAATTTGATCTATTTTTCTCTCTTTTAAAATGGTGATAGGGCCTTATCAAACCTTTGCAGACTGGAACAAGCGACAGTTTTTATCTTATTGCTTGTATGGATTGACTGATAGCCTATAAATATTTCTAAACTGTAAAGAGAATTTATAGGAGGGCAGGGCATATCTGGGTGATGTTTCCTGATAAGGGAACTGCTTGTTAACGCTAATTGGCATCTGGTTTGTCTCATGAACTCCAAACAACCTTTTTTCCTTATTAATCCCCCCCCAAATTTACATCCCTTCTGGCCTCACATTTCATTGTAATGAACATGTAGGGGATTATGGGATGCTAATAGGCAACACGTTTGATTACGTGTAACTGATTTCTTATGCAAAGGGGAAGTTACTTTTGATTTGCCCAATCATCTTTTCTTTTGCATTCCCTTGGATGTCTTAGCTATAAAGCGGAATGTAAGCCAGGGATCTGGACAGTGGTGGGTTTCCAAATTTTTTCCTACCGGTTCTATGAGAAAGAATGTTCTACCATGCAAATCAGTTGAGCTTTAAGAAAAAAAGGGAATATAGGAGAGGTAATGGTGAGGGCAGGTGGGCGGGGCCAGCCAGAGGTGATATTTGCTGGTTTTCCGAACTACTCAAAATTTTTGCTACCGGTACGCGAGAACCGGTCCGAACCAGCTGAATACCACCTCTGGATCTGGAAAATTGGAAGCATGCACCCCTTTTCTGTTTATTAATCCTGCTCCATCAGTCCTAATTTTTCTGTCTGTGCTTGCTCTTGACTTTAGTGAAAGCGTAAGATTTATTTATTTACTTAACAATTTTATATGACCACCCAACTCAGAACAGAGCAGAATATCAGGATTCCAGCGATCGCCCTAATTAAATCATGAGCCTCGAGCCAAACTTCAGAAAACTTCAAAGGATTTATTAGGAGCAACATACTGGCATGACCTTCATGAAACTAACCTGTATGATGCCTGTTTCCAAGTTGCCACAGAACACAACAGAACAGAACAGAACAGAACAGCAGAGGTGGAAGGGACCTTGTAGGTCATCTAGTCCCTGGACAGATTACAATATTAAAAATCCACCATATAAAACCCCCTAAATTAGGAATCTTTAGCGCTCTCTGAGCTTGGTTGTTTTCTTGCAGATGTTTCATTACCAAAACTAGGTAACATCATTGGTGCACTGATGATGTTACCTAGTTGGAGAATGAAACGTCTACAGGAAAACAACCAAGCTCAGAGAGCACTAAGGACCCTTCATTTCAACCCTGAGCTACAAATATTCTCATTTTATTGGAACTCCCTAATACTGTGAGGCTCTTAAATGTATAGGGTTGAGCTGGATGCCATTTGGGGATATCAAAACGTACCTGATATATCTGTGGAGATTCTCTTTGTGCTTTGTGGGCGGCTGATCAGTTTTTCCTTCTGTTAAGGTGGAAGATATGAACACAAAAAGAAATATTACTGGGGGGGTTATTAAATGAACCACAAAGAGGCCTCTTCAGAGAGAATCAGGGGAATTCTCTCAAATCCCCAAACTTGTATGAAATGGATGAAGGTTTCCTTTCCTTTCCTTTCCTTTCCTTCCCTTTCCTTTCCTAGCAGGGGTTGGACTAGAAGACCTCCAAGGTCCCTTCCAACTCTTCTCTTCTCTTCTCTTCTCTTCTCTTCTCTTCTCTTCTCTTCTCTTCTCCTCTCCTCTCCTCTCCTCTCCTCTCCTCTCCTCTCCTCTCCTCTCCTCTACCCTCCCTTCCCCTCTCCTCTCCTTTCTAATGTGACATATTAGTAGCGCTTTAAAAAGCCTTAATAAGGCCACACCTGGAATATACTGCATCCAGTTTTGGTTACTGGAAGACTTTGGAAAAAGTGCAAACAAGAGCAACTAAGATGATTTAAGGCCTGGAGACTAAAACATATGAAAAAGTTCGATTCTGATTGATTGGATTATTACAAATGAGAATGCAGGGTCTGGTTTGCAGCCTCCTTGGTAATTGATTTGTCAGTTCCTTGTGTGAATCCAAAAGAAAGGCTAACTTGGTGCACAGGTTAAGTGTAGTATGTGAACACACTAGTTCTGATTTATTGCCATTAGCCTTTAATTAATTAATTACAGCAACCCTCTGTGGGCTAATTGGATGGTTGGATTGGATTGTTGGCAATTTTCACTTCTAGAAACACCAAAGTACAATTAGTAAACTCTTCCCAAACCATATACTCTTCCACTATTGTAGGAAGTAATAATGCAATAGATAACATGATGGAAAATCCAGTTGTTTTCTGAATCTTTTTACGCAGAACAAAGGGACCTTTTGGGATGCAAGTAGGGCCATGATGGCAAACCTATGGCAAGTGTGCCACAGGTAGCCATTTGTACAGGCACGCAAGCCCCAACCAAACTTATGTGCGTGCCTCCCAGCTGATTTTTGGCCCGTTTGAGGCCATTTTTGCCCTCCCGGATGCTTGAGGGAAGCCTCTGCAGCCTCAGGATGCTGAAAAATGGGCCTTACAGAAATACCGGAAGTGCTGAAACAGGTCTGTTTTGAGCCTCCAGAGGGCCTCTGGAGCTTGGGCGAGGTCGTTTTCGCTCTCCCGGGGGCTTGAGGGAAACCTCTGTAGCCTTGGGAGGCCGAAAAACAGGCCTTCCGGAAATACCAGAAGTGCCAAAACAGGTCCATTTTCAGCCTCCGGAGGCTCCAGAGGCTTCCCTCAAGCCTCCGGGAGGGTGAAAACAGCCTCCCCCAAGCTCTAGAGCCCCCCTGGAGGCTGAAAACGGGTACTTCTGGTATTTCCGGAAGGCCCGTTTTTCCACCTCCCGAGGCTGCAGAGGCTTCCTGGCACGGCAAAAACAGCCTCAAACGGGCCAAAAAATCAGCCGGGAGGCGCGTGCATGTGCAGTGCAGGTAAGGGGGCAGAGGGTGTTGCGTGTGCATGTGCAGGGGGGGGCATAGGGCACATTGCATTGTGGGTGCTGGCACAAATGCATGCTATTGTGCGCGCATGCAAAGCACAACAAAAAGGTTCATCATCACTGAAGTAGAGAATATTACTATAGATTGTAACATCCTCCTGTTTTAATTTTAATTTTAATTTATTTGATTTGCCAATTGTTTACAAGATAGTAAGTATAAGTGTATACATAGTTGTGGATACATGAAATGGGTACATATAAGAAAAATAAAAGAATAAGAGAAACAATAGGACAGGGACGGTAGGCACGTTGGTGCGCTTATGCACGCCCCCTACAGACCTCTTAGGAAAGGGGTGAGGTCAATAGTAGACAGTCTAAGGTTAAAGTTTTTGGGGTTTGGGGAAGAGACTACAGAGTCGGGTAGAGTATTCCAGACATTGACCACTCTATTGCTGAAGTCGTATTTCCTGCAATCAAGTTTGGTGCGGTTTACTTTGAGTTTGTATCTATTGTGTGCTCTTGTGTTGTTATGGTTGAAGCTGTTAGGAAAAAAGCTCACCTTTGGCAAAGTCAGAGCCAGTTTGCACAGGAGGGATTCTTGTTCATGGTCTTCTTGCGGAAGAGGTTGTACGTTGATGAGGGCCACGTCTTTTGTCACTTTGTAAAAAAAGGCCGTTCCTTTATAATGGGGTGAACTGTAGTTACCAAATTCATCCACTTCCTTGATCTGAAGAGCAAGTCGTGGTTTTCTCTGTGCATGAAAAGCAAGCTTGTAATTTTTTCCATAGGTGTCCCCGTCATCTGCACAAGTGCAACGCAAATGTTAAGCTACCACTCAATTAAAAACAAAAAAAACAAAACAAAAATATCAAGTGCTTTAACTGGTCCATTGATTTCATTTGGTACAGAAACCTCCCCCCCTTCCTTCCTGTTTTGAATCTCTAAAACAAACGGTTGGTTTAGACTGGATTGTGAGGTCGAAGCAGTTGCTTCCAACTCAACGTAACAACAATTGTTTTATTTAAAAAAAAAAGAATTCATAGAAAAGACCTGCTCCTTCATTCCCCCCGAATCAATCCAAACACGACCAACTAAACCAGATAACTGGAATTAAGGAGAAACTTCCTAACAGTGAGGACAATTAATCATTGCAACAGCTTTGCCTTCAGAAGTTGTAGGTGCTCCATCACTGGAGGTTGTTAAGAAGAGACTGGACAATGGCCACTTACCTGAAATGATATAGGGATGTGATGGCGAACCTATGGCACGCATGCCACAGGTGGAACAGAGAGCCATTTGTGTGGGCACGCAAGCCCCAGGCAAACTTACCTCACTGTGCATGCATGCGCCTCCCAGCTGATTTTCGGGCCTTTTTCGGCCTGCCAGAGGCTTGAGGGAAGCCTCTGCAGGCTTTGCAGGCCAAAAAACAGGCCGGTTTCATCACTTCCTGTATTTCCGGAAATACTGGAAGTGGTGAAATGGGCCCATTTTTCGGCCTGCAAAGCCTGCAGAGGCTTCCCTCAAGCTTCTGGCAGGCTGAAAAAGGCCTCAAACGGGCTGAAAATCAGCTGGGAGGTGCAGTGCAGGGTGGGGAGAATCGTGTATGCATGCGCAGGGGGTGTGGGGAGGCAGGTGCATTGCCTTCTGGGTGCTGGCGCACGAGAGCACGCACGCAAGCATGCACACATTTTTGGCACAGGAGCCCCCAAAGGTTAGCCACTACTGGTATAGGGTCTTCTGCTTGAATAGAATAGAGCTGAAAGGAACCTTGGAGGTCTTCTAGTCCAGCTCCCTGCTCAAGGAGGAAAATCTATACCATCTCAGGCAAGAGCTTGAGCTGGGGGCTGGACTAGAAGACCTCCAAGGTCCCTTCCAGCTTTATCCTGATTGATTGACCTTAATTTGGAAAGATACTGTAATTTAAATACACGATTCGGAAGCCAGCTTTGACAATTTGAACTGTATCATGGATCCACGCGGGGTTTAACTCAATGGGAACATCCCTGTTATTTACCACTCTTTTCATAAAATTAGGTTTTTTTGTCTGTCCGTGTAACATTAGTGCCTATTCTTTGAATAAACAATGCATTATGATACACAAAGCTCCCTGGAGCCTGGCTGAATTTCATTACCTCTGTAATTAAAACATTACACTGTTCCTGTTAACTGGGAATAAACTCTTGTTCTTAAAGTCATCTCCAAACCACCATTTTCAGCCTGGGCTGCTGGGAAAAAAACTCTCCCTGCAGTGTCAACTATTGGAGGTAATCAAGGAAGGATCTAATCTAGAACTAAGGAGGAATTTCCTCATAGTGAGAACAATGAATCAGTGGAACAACTTTTCTCCAGAAGTTGTGACTTCTCTATTACTGGAGGTTTTTAAAAAGAGTTTAGACAGTCTTTCATGGCTTTCAAAATCTCTTCCTACTGTGTTAATCTGTTCCCTTCTGTCCTAATCAAAATTAAACATCAGCCCCAGGAATAATGGGATAGATTGTCCCCTGAGGCAACAATTTGGTACTTCCTGTGCTTATAACTGACTCAAACCCCCCTGGCTACCACCCGTGCAATGGCAAAATTCTGCGCTGCTACAATGACCACAAGGAATAATTCAGTTACAGAATGATAGATGTCAACTTGCGCCAATTTTTTTGTGTGGACATCTCGTACCATTTTTAGAGAAATTATACTTACACACATACGTATCTGCTCTCCAATCATGTAAACAAGGGCAAGATCCAAACTATTGGAGAGCATGTATTTTATTACCATGGATGTTATTATCCACTATTAGCAATAGCAATAGCACTTAGACTTATATGTCGCTTTCCAGTGCTTTCCAGCCCTCTCTAAGCGATTTATAGAGTCAGCGTGATGCCGACAACAATCTGAGTCCTCATTTTACCCACCTCAGGAGGATGGAAGGCTGAGTCCACTTTGAACCTGGTGAGATTCGAATTGCCAAATTGCAGGCAGCCAGCAGACAGCAGAAGTAGCCTGCAGTACTGCATTCTAACCACTGCACCACCACTATTATTATTAGTATTATCTTTTAATGCTATTGTAAACAGTGATTATTCTTGTCTATTGCTGGTCTATGACCGTAATAAAGTTCTATTCTATTCTGTCAATCCATTGGACACCACCCCCTCAAAAAACAAACAAACCAAAAAACCAATTCCAACAACAACTAGGAGAAAGAGAATTATTCAAACATCATCTTTAGACATGTGGCGAAAACAGATAAGCCGAAAATAATGAGCCAGGCTGTGAGGAAGAGACTGTTTAGGCCTCTCTCTAAAAAAAGATTTCATTTTGTGATGAATGAGGTTTATCTGGCACTAGCCACACTCACCCATCAGATAGATGGCAGAGCTGGTGTGTTTGTTACAAGCTGATTACACTTTGCCTTTACAATGACAGGACTGCGTCTGCCATACGTTTCAATTGTGGTTTGTATGAATTTGATTCATCTTTGATTCTTTCTCATGGTCGGCTGCCTTCATTGTCTTCTCCCTCCCTTTCAGGTGACCAAAAAAAGGGTTATAAATCCAGTTAGAAGTAATCAAAATATAGAACAAAGATATGGAAGGGGTAAGGAAGAAAGGGTTGTGTCAATGGCTTGTTCTTCAAGGTTCTTGAGTTCACTGAAGGTGGACTTCCTCTCCTCCATCTCTCAGAACTGTGGAACTTTTGGGACTGACCCTAAGAGATTTAAATCACAATTAGCAGAATGTCTTTATGTATGTGTGTGTGTGTGTGTGTGTGTGTGTGTGGTGTGTTTATCAGGTTTATTCTGAAGCCTCAGTGGTGAAATAGTAAACAACAAGAAAGTGGAAGGCTGAAGTGAATCGTTTACTCATTTTTCAAATAAATGCCTCACATATATATTTAGGAAGCACAGAATCATCTAACCTTCTTATTTGGGGGAGGGGATACTGTGGTGATTTGTTCCTGCCAGAGCAAAATGCACATCTGTCAGAATATTCATGAACTGGCAAAGACATGGTAACAAGGTCAGCCAATGAATAGGCATAGCAACTAAGTCAGCCAATAAGGACTGTTTGGAAACTGAAACTGGAAGGAGCCTGGGCAAGGCTCTAGATTAAGCTCTGAGCTCTGAAGCTACAAACTAGTCTGCAACTCTGAATCAAAACTGAAATTGTTCTCTGTTGTTCTCTCCTCTGCTTGTGTTTTGCCTGTAACTGCTGCCATGTTGGAAGAATCTGCTGTTGGTATTGTATATTTACTTCAGATGTTATGATGTATATAAAGAAGTTAATGAATCCTACTGAATCAGTTATCTGTTGTGCTTTCTGGATTTCATTTTCTGCAACAAACTCTAACAACGTCTGAACGGACTTTAGTGCTAGAACCGATTAAGATCTTATACATATCAGGAGCCATCAATCCTAAAATCCATAAATCCATTAACCTCACAAAACAATGGAGTGCTTACTATAAGAAATGACTGAAGAAGCTGCTCACACACTAAATAACCCTGTCAAGAAAGCAAAACCATTTTTTAAAACCTTTGAAAGTCTCATTTGTAAAGTCCAAAGAGCAGTGACCGATAGCCTGCAACAATGTACAAAATGGAATTATGAATTATTAAAATGGATTTACCTGAAGCACAAATGTTTCCACTGAATTTAAAGTAAACCTGCTCTCCTTCTCTCATTTTAAATGGCTTTGAAGGCTCTGGAGGACCAGAATATCCCTCTTCACGTAAAGACTGCAGCTCCATGCTTAATTCCTTGGAAGGAACCAGTAAGACGAGAATCTTGTAAGGGTCTTCTTTATTCTGATACAGTATTACTGTCACCATGGTGTTGTGGATGGCATGTTCCAAATTCTGAATAAACTGAACGAGATGTACGTTGTCCATAGCAGAAGATAAGCGAACGATAATAAATCTGTGTAAAGAGGAAGACTTGTTCAGGTCTTGGGATTTAAGAGCCAACCAACAGTGAAACTGATGCAATATAGGCTGATGCAATAAGAATGAATCAGCATAGCATGGGTATTTCCCTTTAAGACTGGGGATGGGTTCTACCCCTTTAAGAGGTGTTTATATAAAGGAAGCCATTAGAGGGCATGTTCTCTCTCTTTGTGTCTGGTATTAATTGCAGAGTTTTCCCTGTAGAGTTAAAAAGAAGAAAGATTGCATGTAAGGTATTTTGCCTACCACGTATATGTCTGTATATAACTGTTGTAGATAAACCACTGTTAAATGTCTAAGTCTCTGTGTGCTGTGTTTTTCTCCTGGGTTGTCTCATAATAACAGTCACTTTGCAAACGCTCTGACAAGACTAGGATGTGACAAAGCAAAGAAAATATTGGAGTAGGAGTCACATCTGAATGCGGAAGATTCTCAGTGAATAAAAAGATAAATCCAGAAACTTTTCTTTGGGGTTTAATGGACAAAGACTTGGGGTGGGGGGAGAATTGGAACCTTAATGCTATGCTTTGTGCATAAAGTAATCTTGATGGCAGCAAGATTACTTTGTGCACAAAAATGGAAGGACACATTGATCCCCATAATGGAGGAATGATTGCAAAAGGTGATGGAGTTAGCAGAGATGGCTAAATTGACTGCTTTGACTAAAGAAAAAGAAATATAATCACTTTCATTTCTACTATGTTTCCCCTAAAATAAGACCCCTCAGAAAATAAGCCCTAGCATGGTTTTTCCAGGGTGCACATAATATAAGCCCTACTCCAAAAATAAGCCTCATCTAAGATTGCCAGCCAAACGGACACATTTAGTGCCATACTTCCTCAAAAATAAGACCTAACCAGAAAATAAGCCCTAATGAATCTTTTGGAGCAAAAAACCAGGGCCCATTCTTATTTTTAGAGAAACATGGGTACTTGGAAACCACTAGTGGACTGTGTGCCTGAGGTGGAAAAAAAATGCAACATTGATTTTGGGTCTTGACAATAAGATAGGTTTGCGGTTTTAGAAATGGCTAATTTATATTACTATGTAGAAGTAAAAAGTTGAGGTTTGATGCTGTTATCTTATTCTACTGCACCAAAGGGAGTTGGGAATCAACACCTTTTCTTTCTTTTTTTCCCATTTTTGCCTTCCCTTCTTCCTCCTTTACTTTCTCACTATTTTCTTTTGTAAACTTCTATTTTATATTATAAACTAATAAAAAAAAGATGAAGACGAAGTTTGCACTAGGTGCTTGCATCGTAAATAAACGGTAGATGCAAAGACACAGAAGATATAGATATAGGAGAGACCTGGAACAGTAATGCAGGAACATATAATTCCAAGGAGATCTGAGAGGATTTATAAAGGTATACCTGCTGAATGGTTCACAGCAAGTGAGGTTAGAGCATACAGTGTCAGGTATGAACTCAAACTCTTCAGGAGATGATGTCATTGCCAGAAAGGAAAAAGGCAGTCGGGCGAAAATGGTGTTACACAGATGTATTATTACATAATGATGGACTGCAGTGTAAAGCAAGGTTTGTTGCACATGGTTTGTAATATTGTTCGCTGGCACTGTAACTGGAATTAACCTGGTATGTACATTTGTTAAAGGATGTAAATGTATAAGACGTACAAGTATTTGTAAACTGATAAGTTAAAAAAGCCTGTATCTATGGAAAATATAATGACCATGTAAAAGCACTTGGATTATCATCCGTTCAGCTTTAAATGTGAGGAGTGTTAAGGTATTGGGATTTAAGAGCTGACCAGATGTAAAGCTGATGCAATGTAAGGCTGATGCAATGAAGATGAATCAGCATTGACATTGCCCTTTTAAGACTAAGAATGGATCCACAGAAGTTTTACCTCTTAAGAGGTGCCTGTATAAAGCAGCCATTAGAGGGCATTTTTTCTCTCCTTGTGTCCTGTATCCATTGCAGAGTTCTCTCTGTATAGTTAAGAAGATTGATTGCTTGACAGGTATTTACCTACCATATACATTTCTGTATGTGTCTTGTATATAAACCACTGTTAAATCTCTAAGGCATGTTTTGCTCCTGGGTTGTCTCACAATAGTAGCCACTGTCAACTCATAAAATATTTCTATGGTCTTTTTAGAGTTGCCAACAGAAAAAGAGGGGGGAGCAGTGGAAATTGAAAGTGCATTCCATAAATAGTTTTCAAAGATAGTAACTAGGTGACTGAAGTTTCTGCCATGCAAAATTCTAGCTCATTAGAGGATATGAATTATGATACACCCAGAGGTGGGGGGAAACCAGGGTCAAGGGTGACAATGAATGATGTGCCTCAGAGTCGGCTACATCCAGGCAGTGCTGGACATGTTAACTCCCAATAAATCCTTTTGAAGTTTTGGAAGTTTGGCTCGAGACTCATGATTTAATTGGGGCAATTGCCGGAATCCTGACAGTCACTCTGATAGTAGAGAACATTAGAGATGGTAAGATATTGCTGTAGAATCCAACACAGAGGGAAAGCTATGGCAGTTAAATTATAAAAGTATTGGCTTTTGCTGTCTTCAATGAGGAAGTGGGATTTTCAAATATGGGTTGTCCACAACCGAAGGTTTTAAGAAGAGACTGAAAAGAAACCACTCCGGAATGATGATGTAATTGGTGTTCTAGGATATCGTGAGCACTTTGAACTCAATGGTTCTACCATCCTAAACCTGATTCTGTTGATCAAAGGTGAAGAATGGCTGCTTAGCCCTTGGAATAGGATGGTCACATCTGCAGGGGTAAATAATAAAAAGATTAAAAAAAATTAAAAAGCAGAGATTTCGCTTCCACTGAGGATGTCCAGGATGTTAATTAAATCTGCCGTCTTGCAGGTTGCTAGGCAATTTCTTGATTTACTATCTTTTATCATTTTTTTAAAGCTACCAGGCGGCTTTAAAATCAGGAGTCGCCAACCTTCAGGCCATAGACCACCAATCAATCAACTGTTGTAAGCCGAGGACTATCTAGTGGACAACCAGTTAAATATGAGCCGGTAGTGTGCGGCGGCAGCCAAAAAAGCCAATGCAATGCTAAGTTGCATTAACTGAGGGATACAATCAAGATCAAGGGAGGTACTAATACCACTCTATAAAGCCTTAGTAAGACCACACCTAGAATACTGCACTATAGTGGTCACCACACTATAAAAAGGATGTTGAAGCTCTAGAAAAAGTTTAGAGAAGAGCAACCAGGATGATTAGGGGACTGGAAACTAAAACATATGAAGAACGGTTGCAGGAACTGGGCATAGCTAGTCTAGTGAAGAGAAGGACCAGGGGAGACATGATAGCATCTTCCAATATTTGAGGAGCTGCCATAGAGAGGAAGGGGTCAAGCTATTTTCCAAAGCCCCCAAAGGCCAGACAAGGGATAATGGATGAAAACTGAACAAGGAGAGATTCAACCGGGAAATAAGGAGACATTTTCTGATAGTGAGGACAATTAACCAATGGAATAGATTGCCACCAGAGGTTCTGGATGCTTCATTCCTGGAGGCTTTCAAGAAGAGATTGGACTGCCATTTGTCAGAAATGATGTAGGGTCTCCTGCTTGGGCGGGGGATTGGACTAGATGACCTACAAGGTCCCTTCCAACTCTGTTAATCTGTACCTATCTGTACTGATTGAAAGATTGAAAACGGATGAAATGATCGCCCCCCTCTTCTCCTACTTCACGATCTGAAAGAGGGTGAATCAATGTCATTCTGCTTTTACGATCAATGGGTTGGATATTTTGGAATTTCATGCAAGCCACTTAATCAGTGATGCCCTGTTCATCTACACATTGGACGAAGCCATCTCACCTCTCTAAGGGTTCCTCCAAGTCAACGGACACAAGACCGTTCCTTGCATTTCTCACAGTGATGTCATCCAGTAGCATCCATTCTTCTTCACTGTTTCTGTAGCCCAGGACTTTCAGTGGTTCCTTCAGATTCTCCCTGTGTTTCCTTGGGGAAGCACTGAGACCTCTGGAAAAATCACAAGAGTAGAGCAAAGAATATACAATCCATCCACCCTTCTCTGTTTCTTCCCTGCTTCTTACTGTCTGGGCTTTGTGATCCAAAACCAAAATTTCTTTTGAAGTAGATCCTCCTAGCCTTACCAAATAAAGGTAAAGGCTCTAGGGAGGCAGTGCTCAACTCTGTTACAAAGCCAAAGAGCCAGCGCTGTCTGAAGATGTCTCTGTGCTCATGTGGCCGGCATGACTAAATGCCAAAGGTGCACGGAATGCTGTTACCTTCCCACCAAAGATGATCCCTATTTTTCTACTTGCATTTTTTACATGCTTTTGAACTGCTAGGATCACAGAAGCTGGGACAAGTAATGGGAGCTCACTCCATTACACGGCGCTCGGGATTCTAACCGCCAAACTGCCGACCTTTCTGATCGACAAGCTCAATGTCTAAGCCACTGAGCCACCACGTTCCTTACCAACTAGTATGTCTTTAATTGCAACAAATGTGTATTTCTTTCATGGCCCCACTTTTCAACTTTCAAAATGCCCCAGCCAGAAAGACTAAAGAGAAAGTCAGCTGGGTATTATAGGACGTGAAAGCTGTTTTGGTATATTTTTAATTAAATTTTCATTATAGATAAAAACCAGCTACACTGGTGGGTTGAAAGGTTTCTACTGTTTTTCATTAGAATTATACAAAGGCAACAAAAAAATAATAAAAGCTGTGCCTCAGAAAAATTGCTAAGAAGATCTGATTAACTTTACATGAACTTAAATTGCTATTGTTCAAGTTGGCAATCCCTGACAGTTCAGAGGTCAATATATAGATGTTTAAATCAGTTTTCTTAATCTTTTCCCTCTCCATTTGCATTAAATTATATCTCCCATGATCATTAGCCAACATAATTTATGAATCACAGCAGAGGTGGTATTCAGCAGGTTCTGACCAGTTCTGGAGAACTGGTAGTAGAAATTTTGAGTAGTTCAAAGAACCAGCAAATACCACCTCTGACTGGAGATTTTACAGTATCCTTCTGTTGTGGTTCACCAGCAGCAGGTGTGGATGGCCAAAGTCTTGGAGAATGAAGACTCAGATGAGGGGCCTGTGTGTGATGCAGGGATGGGGACAGGACCATCAAGGAGTGGAATGCTGCTTTCGGAAATTGTGGAGGCTGGCAGCAGTGATGAAGAGGTCCCCGAGGAGCCTGTGTCCAGGGCACGTGCACACAGGGCTGCTCAAAGGAAAAAGCAGTTGCAGCAGCACGGGCCACTCAGGAGTAAGGCTGCAAGGTAATGGCCCCTCCCTTCAGAGATAAAAGCCAGCTGAGAAACCGAAGTTCTTTGCAGGAAGCAAAGAAGTTTTTGCACTCAAGCCTTGTGGACATTCGGACTCTCTTAGTTGGTGTTTGGAGACTCTTTGTGTTTGAAATAGTTCTTGGCAACTTTATCTAGTGTTCTTGGCAGCCTTGCACAACCTTGGCAAGGTTCGTTCTTATCAGAGACAATTAGTTTGAAACAGCCTTTTAACCATGAAGGAACAGAATTTGTGAAGAATCATTAAAAGGTTTTGCTGTTACCTCCATCTGGTGTTTGCTTCCTTGGAACAAGCTTTGGGTCAGAATACCTTCCTCTGCCACGCCCACCAAGCCACATCCACAGAACCGGTAGTAAAAAAGATTTGAATCCCACCACTGGATCCCAGGAACAATAGCCAGCATAACCTATGGTTATCCCGCTTAGAGATACTGAGAGTTATGATCCATACAACTGGAGGATGTCAGATTACCAATAGAAGAGAATATGTGTAGCTCAGGGCTGAACTGAGGGGTCCTTGCTCTTTGAACCTGATTGTTTTCTTACAGACATTTCATTATCTAAATAAGTAACATGGTGGTGCAGTTGTTAGAGTGCAGTACTGCAGGCTACTTCTGCTGCCTGCTTGCTGGCTGCCTGCAATTTGGCTAGAAAAGAGGGGAAGGAAGAAGAAAGGAGAATGAAGAGGGAAGGGAAAAGAGGAAAAGGAAGGAAGGAAGATTATGAGAGGGAGGGTCTCAGGGAAGTCCTGCCTTAGCACTGGGCCACCACAGGTTCCCCCCACATTAGTCCCATGGCCATGCCCACCATGGCCACACCCATGCCCCTCTGGCCCTCTGAGGTAAAACACAACCCTGATGCAGCCCTCAATGAAATCAAGTTTGACAGCTCTGTTCTAGTCTCTCAACATCTTGAGATGTTAGAAAGGTTGCCTTCTCTCCATAATTAAATTTGAAGAGTGGAAGAAGACAACAACGGCAAACCATTTATGGATTCTGGGTCTACCTGAGACATTTTCAAGAATGAGTTCTTTCTTATTTCTTACCGGAAATTATGAATGCTTGTAACTCTGGGGACAGAAGCAGTCGCTGCCCTTCCGGAATCTGTCTCAATACCCTCTCTTCGTTTTTCTTGATTTGGAGGGCAAGGTAGAACTACAGTGATAGCTCTGTTGAGTGGCAGAGATGAAGAATATTCCAGGTGGACCAGAGAGCTGGTTGATATGACTGAATGATATTCGTCATGTTTTGTTTTCAATATTGAAAGTGTGGATTGATCAATCGACTGCACCTGCATATAATTAATATTGAAGGGAATAGTAATAATAAATAAAGAAATTTAGTAGAATATATTATAGCATTAAGTAGAGAGTTACTCTATAGGCATTTGTTATCTTGCTGTTGTAAAAAAGATTTCCTTAACCTTTCACTTGTTGTAAAACACATGCCTGCAATCAGTTACATCCCCCTCCTATTAAGACACATGATTGTCCTATCTAAATCAATCTGAATCCATCTGTTTTCCTGGATTGATACATTTCATCCCAGCATCAACCCCTGGGAATGAAATGTACCTCAATTTGGAGGAATCCACACATTTGAAGTATACTGTTAATAGCCTCCTTAAGTGATCAATTGTGATCAATTAGATGGACAATAGGAGAAGAGATAATGAAAGGTAAACATTGCCGAAAGAGATTTGTCTTTTGCAGGAAATATGTAAATCTAAGTTAGAGAGATTTACAATGCAGTTACTCAACTTCTAAGAATGTTAAAGGTATAAGAAAGATAGGGCATCTTCCTGTATTTTGTAGAATTTTCCTCCCATGTCTCTTGTGATGTGCTAGGAACTTCTTCCCAGATCTTTAACTCTGATCAAAGAATAAAAGTCTGCTTTATTTAATTTGCAAGCCTCTTTGTTTTGGTTCATTTCTGGCTTAAGCGTACTTCCAGACTTTACAATATGATTACGGGCATAATTATCATTATCATCTCTCATTCAAGGTAGTTTTGAATATTCATTCATATATGCTCAGGGATCAATGGAAATAGGAAGGAGTTTTACAAGAACCAATGGAGGGAAACTCATCAACGAGGGAAGCAACCTAGAACTAAGGAGAAATTTCCTAATGGTGAGAATAATCAACCAGTGGAATAGCTTGCCTTCAGAAGTTGTGGGTGCCACATCACTGCACTGGACAGCCATTTGTCTGAAGTAGTAGAGATGGTACAGGATAATAAAAACAAGGACAAATAGGCTGAAAAACAGCTTCTCAGGGCAGTAACTCTATTGAGTTCTACTTTATAGTGCAGTATTAATGCAATATCGGGGTTTTTCAATTCAATGTACAGAATGGGAAGGATGTGTGTTTGTGTTTATTTTCATATTCATAATGTACACTGAAGATAGTATTTAATTTTATTGTACGAGGTGCAATGACAATAAAGTAAACTAAACTAAAAGCTAAACTCACCTGCTTCAGCAGGGAGTTGGACTAGAACTAGATGATCTCCAAGGACACCTTCCAACTCTGTTATTTTATGTTTGATGTTCTATCACTTGCCAGCATATCTCATACCAATGCATCAAAATAATAAAATTAAATCTTCATGCGGTGAGGCCCATATTCCTCTAAAGAACAAAGCTATTTGATCATGCTGCTAAACGCAATGGGGATGGAGCAGAATCCTGGAACTCTCCACTAACCCACCACAGACTTAGCTCCAAAAGGAAGGAAAAGGTTTTCTACTTAATTTTCATGGCAGTTCGTTTACAGAAGCATAATTCAATCCTTGCACCAAGATGAATATCAAGGATAATGAAGAAGGACATGAAACATTGATTCAATTTCTCTCATTAGGTAAGGCAGAGATGTTTCTGCAGGGATCTTCATTAAATTTCCCTTCTGGATAAATTTGAAAAAGCCTGCTATAACATCGGATAAATGTCTGCAGGCAAAATAGAAACGTTCTAGCAAAATAAGGTATAATTTTGAGCTAGACGTTAGATCTAGATAGTAGGTAGATTTAAGGAAAAAAGGCAGTCTCAAAACCGATGGAATTATGCATGAAAATTTTAAAAAATTAACAGTCTTCACCCTCTTTCTCTCACACAAACAATCTGAATTTGAGTTGTCTTCTCTGGAATGAAGCCTCTCCCACCTGAGAATCCAGACTACATTCCACCACATTTCAGGATTAGGGAAACTTGGCCATATACCAAGTCGTAGGTGTGAACATCAGATTCAACCAAAGCTGAAATCTAAGTGGACAACCCACTACAAATGTGCATACAACTAGACACAAATATAGTTCCTCCCCAGTGCCATCACCCTGCTAAACAGCTAATCGGTCTTCTTAGGCCTAAACCCATGTAGTAGGGCTGTATTGCTATTATCCTTCTCATCTTTCCTACTATCTTCTCCTACTGGTATCTTATTATTTATCACTTGTTGTTTGTATCTTATGATGAATAATTGTAACTATGTTTTATGATCTATGATCTATTACTTTATTGTATGTATGTACTGAGATGTTATGCACCAGAGACAAATTCCTTCTTTGTCCAATCACACTTGGCCAATAAAGAATTCCATTCCATTCTATTCTCCTCTATTCTATTCTCTGTGGCAGAATATAGTCCTTTTGAAATAACAGAATAATAGAGTTGGAAAGGACCTTAGAGGGCTTCTAGTCCAACCCTCTGCTCAAGCAAGAGAGACTATACCACTCAAAACAGGTGTCATGCCCCTGTTGGAATGTGATTCCGAGGGGGAGGTCAAACAGCTAACAGGGAGTGGGAGTGTGGCTCTCGTGGCTGTGGAGGAAACTGGGGAAGGGCACAGTGCAGCTGGGCATTCAGAGGAAGACCCAGGCCCATTCCTTCTTCATCCTAGGGCATGCAGGGAGGAACAGATAAGGGAGCAACATGGGTTATGGGGGAGAAAAAGGCCCTGATTCACTTCATTAGCCGCATCTGGGAAAACAGGTATAAAGCGCACAGCACCTTGCTGGAAGCAAAGCGTGCATTACCTTTGTTTGTCACGTCTTATCTGGGTTCTGGCGTCCTCCCAACTGTATGTGTTTTGTTATCTTTTGGAAGTCTGCAATTCCTTATCCTGCCCTATCTCATTAATTGCTGCAGCTTGTGGTTTGTGTTGGTTTTTGTTTATAATTTAGATGTACTTTGTGTTTGGACTGAATTTCTTCTCTTTAAAAACTGTTCTTGGGAGAGTTTTTTCTCCAGCCAATGATAACTGAACATTGGGGGCCAGGTTGGAGGAATTAAAGGGACTTTACCTACTTTTGTGACTTTGTTGCTTTTGTGCCATGCCCCAGGTCATCACAACAGGTGGCTGTCCAGTCTCTTCTTGAAAACCTCTGGTGGCGGGCTGCAACCAGTTTAACAACCGGTTTGGTGAGTGTGCATGAGCAGCGTTAAAAAAACACCCATTTTAAGCTTAAAAACTTACTCTCGATTCATAGAATATTTCTATGGGCTTTTTAGAGTTGCCAACAGAAAGGAAGGGGAGCACTGCAACAGCTTGTAAAACCGAAACTGCATTCTATAAATGTTTTCAAAGATAGTAACTAGGTGACCGAAGTTTCTGCCATACAAAAGTCTAACTGGAGAGCATGATTGATGACTCTTGGCTATGGATGTGTCCCATTGGAGAATAGGAATTACGATACACCCAGGGGGTGGAGGGAAAACTAGGGTCAAGGGTGACAAGGAATGATGTGTCTCAGAGTCGGCTATACCCAGGCAGTGCCGGACATGTTAATTCCCAATAAATCCTTTTGAAGTTTTGGAAGTTGGGCTCGAGACTCATGATTTAAATGGGGGTAGTTGCCGGAACCCTGACGCTTACTTTCTATCTCAGCGCTGGTGAGTAAAACAGCTGAGGTGCGAATCAGCTGAGCTAAAAAAACAGGGGAATACAGGACAGGAAAGGGCAGGCATAGGTGGGTGTGGCCAACTGCTCACCGGAACTACCGGTTCGCTAGAACTGGTCCGAATTGGCAGTAGCCCATCACCGATGTTGGAGCACCCACAACTTCCATTCCACTGATTAATTGTCCTCACTGACAGGGAATATCTTCTTATTTGTAGGTTAGTTCTCTCCTTATTATCTTGGCTTTAAGAAAAACGTATCTAGCTCAGTTGGTCTAAAGGAACATGAGTAGCATGCAGAAGTACAGAGAAGAGCAACCAGGATGATAAGAGGACTGGAGACTAAAACATATGAAGAATGGTTGCAGGAACTGGGCTTGGCTAGTCTAGGGAAGAGAAGGACCAGGGGAGACAGGATAGCTGTCTTCCAATATTTGAGGGGCTGCCACAGAGAGGAGGAGGGGGTCAAGCTGTTTTCTAAAGCACCCAAAGGCCAGACAAGGAATAATGGATGGAAACTGAACAAGGAGACATTCAACCTGGAAATAAGGAGAAACTTTCTGACAGTGAGAACAACCAGTGGAACAGAAATTGCCTTCAAAAGTTGCGGGAGCATCATCACTTGAGACCTTCAAGAAGAGATTGGACTGCCATTTGTCAGAAATGGTGTAGGGTCTCCAACTTGGGCGGGGGCAGGGTGTTGGACTAGATGACCTACATGGTCCCTTCCAACTCTGATTATCTGTTAAAGCTGTTAAATCTGTTCCTTTTCAACAGGAGAGACAATGTATTTTTTTTTAAACATTTAACCTCATAAAGGAGAAGAAAGAGAATTCATACAGGAACTGAACTGAATAACAGACATTCTGTAATGAATATCTTCCTAGTCGTCTTTTATGAGCTATTGCTGCCACCCAGGGTTGAACTGAAGGAAAGCCTCTGGTTTTTTTTCCATGTTAAAAAAAAAGTCCTTTAGGCACCTGCAGTATTATAAACAAGGATGAATAGCAATCTATTCACATCACTTTTCAAATCCTTTCTGAAATGTGGCCGGAATCCCTCAAAATGCAGAATTAGTTCCCCATCCTATAACTTATCATTCCATTTGGTGAGCTTGTTTTTTTTTTAAAATGGTTAAGATTATTGATTGGGCCTTTTCTTCTTCTTCTTTTCCCTGCAAGCTTCTTAAGTGGCCTCAAAATTGGACAGATGGGAAAATGACATAGTCAAAATAGATGGGTGATAGATAATAGAAAAAAAAAGGAAGGAAGAAAGGAAAGAAAGAGGGAAGGAGGAAGGAAGATTGATTGATTTCGAGGAAGGAATGAAAGAAGAGAGGAAGGGAGGGGAGGGGAGGGAGGGAAGGGAAGGAGGGAGGGAAAGAGGGAAAGAAAGGAAGGACAGGGAGGGGAGGGGAGGAAGGGAAGGGAGAATGAAATGAAGGAAGGAAAGGAAAGAAGGAAGGAAGGAAGATTGATTTTGAGGAAGGGAAAGAAAAGGAGGGGAAGAGGGGGAGGGAGGGAAGGGAAGGAAGGAAGGAAAGAAAGAAGAAAGAAAGATTTTGAGGAAGGAAGGAAAGAAGAGAGGAAGGGAAGGAAGGAGGGAAAGAGAGGAAAGATGGGGAGGGGAGGAAGGGAAGGAAGGGAAGGAAGAGAGAATGAAATGAAGGAAGGAAAGGAAAGGAAAGACGGAAGGAAGGAAAGGGGAAGGAAGGAAAGAAAGGAAGGAAGCAAGAAGGAAGGAAGGAAGGAAGGAAGGAAGGAAGGAAGGAAGGAAGGAAGGAAGGAAGGAAGGAAGGAAGGAAGATTGATTTTGAGGAAGGGAAAGAAGAGGAGGGGAAGAGAGGGGAGGGGAGGGAAGGAAGGAGGGAAGGAAGGAAGGAAGGAAAGAAGAAAGAAAGATTTTGTGGAAGGAAGGAAAGAAGAGAGGGAGGGAAGGAAGGAGGGAAAGAGAAGAAAGACGGGGAGAGGCAGGGAGGCAGGGGAAGGAAGGGAAGGAAGGAAGGAAGAATGAAATGAAGGAAGGAAAGGAAAGGAAAGGAAAGGAAAGAAGGAAGGAAAGATTGCATGGAGAACTGCTATTAAAGGACACTATTATCAGTGACCTTAAAGTAGATCATTCAGTTTACAAAAGGCCAGATATTTTTTTCCCCTTCACTGAAGAAAGTCATCCTCGGTATACATTATTAAGTTGTAAAAAAATTATTCTAGATCTCTTCCAATCCAAATGTGGTTACGTATTTTGGTTGGCCAAAAACGTGCTCCTATCCGAGAAGTCAAGCCATTTATTTTTCAAGCATACCTTTACGTCCACTGTGACTCGAGAACTGAATGTTGATGGGGGATAACAAAATGAAATTCTGGGATCCATGTTAAGCTTTCGCAACAGTCCTTTCCTCGGAATGGCCCACGTTTCCTTCTTCAAGCACGAAACCACGGAGAAGATACCCAGCTGGCAAGTTTTCACCACGGCGGCTGACCTCTGGCATGGAATCCAAAGGAGAAAAACCAGTATTTAAATAATAAATTTGTTTTACAATGGTTAGGAAAAGCAGGGTTTTTAAGCAAAAACTTCTAATCTTTACAACGAGGTTTAGCGTTGAGTATCATCAGCACTAGTTAACTGTTCTCTAATCTTATATACAACCAATACTAGGTTTGATATTGTCAATTCAGTTTTAAATATTTGCATGCTGATTTTCCTGTTCTGGTTAATGGCTACAACTTTTTTTTCAAATTCCAGTAACAATTTAGAATTCCCTTTTTTTAAAAAAATAATGCGTTTTATAGAAATATTTGCAGATGAATAAGTTTGGAGCAGCTTTCTTTATTAACTTATTAAGGAAGTCCTATAAAATTCCAAATGTGACTTGCAAAAAATTATTAAAAAAAAAAAACTTTTCTCTCTCACGTTTTGTTAAGAAAGTGGTAGGATTCAACAAGTGAATTCTTACAGATCTGCAATATTTTTAGTAGTTTTAAATCAATTTAAAGTTAGAACAATTAATCAGTGGAACAACTTGCCTTCAGAAATTGTAAATGCTCCAACACTGGAAGTTTTTAAGAAGAGATAGGATAATCATTTGTCTGATATGGTATAAAGTTTCCTGCCTAAGCAGGGGATTGGACTAGAACAGGGGGTCGCCAACCCTTTGGACCTCAGAGACCACCAAACTCATAATTTTAAATCCCAGGGACCAGTAACAGGTTCTGTGGGTGTGGCCTAATTTGTAGGTGTGGCTTGGTGGTCATATGACTGGCTGGGCATGGCTTGTATGTAAATATTATAAATATTTATATAAATATTGAATTTTTTTATAAAAAAGAGAAACTTTTACCCAAAATCAGACAAAGCAGGCAGGCAGATTGAGTTGCTCACAGAATCATTCAGTGATCTATCTATCTGCCATCGGCTAGCTCAGTCTGTCACAGAAAATTTGCTTGCTGTGAGTCTGCACTGAATAATAGAACCTTCAGTCCTGAGGGAGGCTTGGCTGTGCTTAAAAGCAGAGCCAAAGTTCTAAAGATTAGCTAGAAAGCAAGAAATCCAACCATTTCCTGCTTTCCAGCTAATCTAAATATCACAGCTGATGGTCGGAAAAATAGCAATTCAGCACGCAAGTTTGCTGGGTAAGGAGTGAGTGGGCGGGGAGTGTTCCCACGGGCCATGTGGACGGCGCAGCCTTGTGTTTCTGCGCAGCCTGGATTAATTGCTTTGGGGGGGGGTGCGCTCTGGGGTGAGATTTGTCTGTGGCCCACCAAAATTTTCTCCTGGCCCACCGGTTGGTGACCGCTGGACTAGAAGACCTCCAAGGTCTCTTCTAACTTTGTTGTTCTATTCTATTCTATTCTATTCTATTCTATTCTATTCTATTCTATTCTATTCTATTCTATTCTATTCTATTCTATTCTACTCCACTCCACTCCACTCCACTCTACTCTACTCTAATTCTATTCTATTCTACTCTGCTCTAATTCTCTTCTACTCTACTCTACTCTACTCTACTCTACTCTACTCTACTCTACTCTACTCTACTCTAATTATACTCTACTCTACTCTACTCTAATTATATTCTACTCTAATTATACTCTACTCTACTCTACTCTACTTTACTCTATTCTATTCAATAGTATTTTCTTCTGCCTGGCAGTTTAAGCATGATTTTGGTTTAAAGAGTTCACTCACCTTCTGGCTGCCTTGATGTCCTTCCAAAGAGGTAGGAGTTAAATAAATGGACTGGAAATTTATGTCACTCACTTTCACCATTACGTCTTTGTACATTCCTCTGTAACGGGAAGTAAATGGGATTGCAATGCTGATTGGAGAAACGTTGAGTTGGTCAACCAATGAACACTCAACAGATAGGATGTTGCTGACAAGTTCTTCTGCCTCATCCACAACGAAGGGACTGAAATCATTGGCAACAGTGACTGTGAGATGTTCCAGAACTTTGCAAGGAGCTGTCACACTACACGATAGTTCAGGTTCTCCCAGTTCGTTCGCTTCCATAAAAAATCTATGGCCAAGAAATAACATTCGTGAGGGGGGGAAGAGAGAGAAATGGATAGAACACAGAATGATAACTGGAGGGGACCTTGGAGGTCTTCTAATCCAACCCCTCTGGTTGAGGTGGAGACCCGATACCATTCTGGGCAAATGGCTGTCTAATCTCTTCTTCAAAATTGCCAGCGATCGTGCATCCATGGCTTCTCAAGGCAACCCACCCCACTGTTGAATTGTTCTCACTGTCAGGAAACCTGTTGTGGCCTGTCAGCAGCCAAATCAGAGGAGGAGGAGGCGGTGTGGGAGTCAGGTTCAGCATCAAGGCAACCTGAGAGCTCTGAGGGGGAAGAGGGAATGGAGCTGGCAGAGAGAGAAAGAGACAGAGTGGAGCCTGGGCCATCTGTCAGCTCTCAGATGGAGTGTAAACAACCCCCAGGTCTGGAGGTGGCTGATGAGGAAGAGGAGAAACAGCTGGGTCCAGTGCCTGACATGCAGATGTGCAGAAGCAGAGGAGAGGAGAGCAGTGGAAATCTATGCGCCGATCCTTGGGACTGAAGAGCCACCCCAGCTAGTGAAGCCCCAGTTAGCTGTGGGGATAAAAGGCAGGGGGCAGAGATGAATAGATGTGGCAGACAATTATTCATCTCCCTGCTGGACAGACTTGTTAGCCTACGTTGAGAGAGAAACGTTATGCTGGGGCTGTTGGCACTCCTAATAAAGGAATCATTGATTTAAAATACAGAGGGTTTGTCATGTGTCGGGAGCTGGGTCAGAAGAAACTTTCTCCTAGGTTCTAGGTTGGATCTCTCTTTGATAGGCTTCCATTCCTTACTTCTTGACCTGCTCTCTGGTGCTTTGGAGAATAGCTTGATCCCTTCTTCTCTGTGACTGCCCCTGAAGTACTGGAAGGCTGCTATCATGTCACCCCTAGTCCTTCTCTTTGTTAGACCAGACATGCCCCTAGAATAATTATTTGTAACTAGTTGAGGAACGGAACTGCATTAGGTCTTTTCAATGGTGGGGTCCACACCTTGACCTCGGGAAGAGATGACTGCTTTTACTTTGATGAGGTATCTTGTGTGGCCTCGTAGCATCACTTACAATTCTTCTCTGGTAATACTGATTTGCAAACTAAGGCATTCAAAACTTTTGGTAGACCAATACTCGAATTCAACTCTGCTGTCTGGAATCCGCACTGTATATCTGACATAAATACAATTGAGCGTGTCCAGAAGTATTTTACCAGAAGAGTACTACATTCCTCTGTTCGCTACAGAATAACCCTACACCACCAGACTTGAGATTCTAGGCTTAGACGACCTTGAACTATGCCAGCTAAGATTGGACTTAAGCATAGTACATAAAATCATGTGTTACAATGTCTTGTCAGTTAATGAATATTTTAGATTTAACCACAACAACACAAAAGCACACAACAGATATAAACTAAATGTAAACCACTCCAAACTTGATTGCAGGAAGTACGATTTCAGCAACAGAGTGGTCAATGTCTGGAACTCACTACCTGATTCTGTTGTTCCATCCTCTAACTCTCACTCCTTTAACCTTAAACTATCGACTATTGATCTCACCCCATTCCTAAGAGGTCTGTAAGGGGCATGCAAAAGTGCACAATCGTGCCTACCATCCCTGTCCTATTGTCCTCAATTATTAGTTCCTATTTCTTATATTTAAACATGTTTATTCTTATTTCTATTGTATTGTAAGCGTTTGACAAAATAAATGAATGAATGAATGAATGAATAAATAAATAAAATAAATACTTCCAAGAACTGAATGAGGCTCCCCAAGAAAGAAACAAACACTTGTGTTGTTTGTAGAAGCAAGGAACACCCATTGATTGTTTTCTCTTATTCTTTGCTTTCTCAGCCTCTCTGCAGGACCATAAATAATCATACCGGCTACTTGGGAATGCAAGGCCACTGAAAAACCCTATTAAAATGTTAAGTATCATGTGAATGAAATATAATCCAATTATCCAGCTTCGTTATAAATTTACAAAATAGTTAAGGGAAATTGATTTTATTCCAGGTAATGACAAGGTGTTCTTTTTTTTAATGCAACAGTAATAAGATAATGGGCTGCCTTAAACTGCAGCTGCGTAGTCTAGCTAGGGCTTCTAAATATTATGGGTTTCTTTCCCTAAGAAATTTGGGGGAAAAAATGAGGCAGTTTTCTTTCACCTCTCTCTCCCCTCGAGTGGTCTGGGCTGAACCTCCACCCCACATACATACATACAAACAAACAAACAAACAAACAAACAAACACACACACACACACACAAACATACCAGAGGTGGTATTCAGCAGGTTCTGACCAGTTCTGGAAAACTGGTAGCAGAAATTCTGAGTAGTTCAGAGAACCGGCAAATGCCACCTTTGACTGGAGATTTTATAGTGTCCTTCCCCTGACACGCCCACCAAGCCACACCAACAGAACCAGTAGTAAATAAATTTGAATCCCACCACTGATACATACATACATACAGGCAGACAGACGTACATACATACATACATTACGATTTATATGGACTGTTTCCTAGTATGATTTGATTGCTTGTTGTACCCTATGAATTAAATGTTGTACCTGATGATTCTTGACTCTTGATGAATGCATCTTTTCTTTTATGTACACTGATAGCATTTGCACCAAGACAAATTCCTTGTGTGTCCAACCACACTTGGCCAATAAAGAATTCTATTCTATTCTATTCTATTCTATTCTATTCTATTCTATTCTAT